CTATATAACAAGTAATATATCCTAAATATGGAAAGTATCATTCAATAAGATGTGAGGAAACAGACCCACAGAAGTATCTTTTGCCCAAAATCTCACTGCTGGATAGCAGCTGAACTCCTGATAGCTAGCCACAATGCTCCCATTATTCTTGGTTAAAACAGCATATGTTATTTTGTTTCCTTTTAGCAAAATACTCCAATCCAAAAAAGAGAAAAGCTCTGAAATCCAACTAAACATAAAACACTTAAGTTGAAGTGTTATAACTTTTCTCGCTGTCATCATTCATTCAAACTATATGTTCCTGATGCTGTGTTACTTTTCCAATTTGATTTGACTCCCATTTGGAATTCAAGAGTCAATGCTATTCACAGTAACGCTTTTTAGCTACTCACAAAAAGCAATAAATGACACTAAGCAGCTTGTTTTTAAGCTGTAATTTGGAGTTTCAAATCTCTAAACTGTTCTCTTCCTGCAGTTGTAATAAATTATATTTTGAAAGAATTATATTCATCCCTAATGCTGGTTAATTGACTTAGGGGTACTGCCTTTCTTAAATTTTTTTCCTGAATATTATTTTACTTCTAAATATTTTAGAACTATTCAAGAAACAAAGGACAAAACAACATTAATCTTCAAACTTTTTATGCAACATATTGCATTACATTTTTTTCTTATGAGTTTAAAAATCCACTTTAAAAACACCATCTTACCACTCTTCCAAGGTCCAGTCCCTCCCCGGAACCACACCAGAGAAAAATAAATGATCGAGGTGCTGCAATCTCATCAATTTCTAACTTCATAATCTATAAGAAACCAAAACAATATTGCACAAAAGTGTTTTGTTTGCCATTCATCATAAGTCCAAAAGAACAACCACTGAGACTTATCAGGATTCTCAGTAGATGTGGTCTTTAAATTAGGAAATATAATGGAAAATAAATTTTATCCTTAAAGTTACTTGTTCTACTGCTGTTTTGTTATTTTATATACAAACAATATGCACACATGCACACACATACACATATATACACCTGCTTTCATATGGAAAGAGCTTATAGGAAACCAGATTTATAGAATTATGATATTTCATAAGAAGGAGCTGGAGAGATATTCTATAGTAACGTTTTCCATATACAGAAAAATAAATTGAAATGGAAAAAGGTTAAATGAGCCTAAGTTAAGAGCAACATTAAAATGAAATAAAACGATAAATGTCTGGGGAGGACTGTGGTTTCTGGTATCTGTAGAAGAACAGTTCTCAATAGATCAATATATATTTTTTCTTATAGTGACTACTTTAAGTCTGAAATGCCCCAGAAATACAGTCCATAATTCTTTCCCTTGTATGTGTTGAGTGTGTAGCATTAAAGAAAAGATCTTTAATAATTAAATCCCTAAGTTTTGGGAACACCATATTCTCATATCAATGACTGTAGAAGCAACCATTTTATATAACATTCTTTTTCTTTTTTTCTTTCAGCTTTCTCTGGAAGTTAAGAAGTTTCAAAGATCATGGTTCAAGCAAGAATTAGTTTCGTTTATTAAGAAAATCTCAACTTTTGCCTGAATAACAGATCAATGTAAGTTAAAACCATACCATCTCTAACTTAAGTAGGTAGAAAAACAATATTATACAGTAATAATGGAATTAAGTTACAACACGTATAAACCTATTGTTTTATACTTCTGACTTTTTCTTAAGTCTTGAAATCTCACCTCATCTAATATTCTCATAGTACAGTAACCTTTTTGCCAACTATAATATGAATATATATATACACATATATATATTCCTATCTACACTTACACGTGGCACAGCTAAAGATAAGTGATGACACATATCAGCATACACTAAGCAAAATCATACATACATTAAGCAAATTAATTATTCTCTCTTGACCCTGCAATTCTAAAAGCTAAGTGTTGGTATTTTAAATAAGTGCTTATGTCCTTAACTAAAATACATTGAACACTACTGACTCTCTAATGTCTAAAAAAATATTTGTGAAACCCAAAGGTTCTTATCCGCATACTGTTCTTATCTACATTTTATTTATTACATCAACTACTGGCACTTTCTTTAGGATAATACCACATAGAGTTTAAGAGCTTACGGTTCTGGGACCAGACAAAACTTTTCAATATGTCAGTAAAATTAAACCAAAATCAAGAATGTGCATATAAAATATAATTCCTTTATTTCAAAAACTCTTTTATTTTGTTATATATAACTAAAGCTCGCACTTGTGCCTTTACTGACCAAACGGCAAACTCTGGCCAGAAAAAAGCAAAGTACAACAAAGA